CAAGTATTTAAACACGGATAATGGTATAGACCTGCTATTACTAAAATACCGCAAATCAATTCTCGCTCGTAATTATGGTCCTAGATTTAACCTCGATGGTTTGAATTTTACTAAATGTGAGTTTTTGATTGATCCTTGATAATAAGTATCTCAAAACAGTGCAGGCACTTAAATACCATGAGACAGCGGTGCTGCTGAAATGGCTCCTTAGGTGATTACAAGCAAGGGGGCAATGCAATATTACGGTATAAACTGGTGCAAAGGCTTCTGTCGGTCTTACACTATCGCAGTAATGGTGTAAAGTAAAGAAATGTCTCTCCTTTCTTTACACGTTACTTTATCGCTATCTAAATCAGTATTTGAAGAGACATTTACTGATGGCACTGAAGGGTCCCATTCGCGGCTGATATCCAGAAAATCAGAGCTATATTTTGTTTCATTTTGTGTCTCTAAACGTCATTAATTTCATAATGAAGTCTATACTCGTAACAGTTTCGTAAGAAACATAAAGGGCATGGAATCAATCTACTGCATAAAAGAACAGTGTTTAACTGTCACGCCAAGGTTGTGCTGATTAGCACCCTACATAAGAATAAAGCTTATTACGGTAACCATCACGTCTTATGGTGGCAGATTCGCAAACGTTTACTAAAGAGTTTGTACAAATCTCTGCAAAAAAGCATAGAACAATACGAATCTAATAGGATCGGTTTAAGCTTGTTCGAAACAAGTAAAAGATTAGATGATGAAGAAAGAATAAAATCGAATTTTAATAAAAGCAGAAAACTGATGAGTATAGTTTTTCACAGATCCATGGACGAACAATGACATGAGTTTGCTCAACCCCAGACCTCTTCAGTTCGACCAAATTTATATACTAACGAAGCGACGAAAATCAGAAAGTTCTGCAGGAACAGCGACACTCCACGCCATTGATTGGAAACGCCTTTGTCAACGAAATCAGCGAACAGAATCCAAATGGATGTAATAAGGGATCCAAATCCGATCACAAAACCGAAGAGCAACCACAGACGAGCACCTATATAAAACGGTTTATGCAGCAGTAAATGAGAAAATATGCAATGAACTCTCTGTCGAGCATCCCACAGTATGAGAATAAATCTTACATTATTAACAGTCACTATAGGGGTCATTCAGTGAGTAAATCAATTAAATACGCAGAATGTTTTACTAGAGTGATTCTATGAGTCAAACTGCAGTAAAATGACATCGCCACCCGATTTTACAACTACCGTGACGCCAGACATCTTTATTACATTCGTTAAAAACAACGCCGCTGTTTCTGGCTTAATCTTGACCCTCTTCTCTATTCGTATTATCAGTGCCTGGACCACCTTTCGTGCATAATTTCAACCAGTTGAACCACTGGTGCCTACTCTCGGTCACCTGTTCTGTCACTGCGCCAGCTCATATTCTCCAATTTTCATAAAAACATAATATACCCACATCGGCACAAACCTATCGCGAACAGTCGGCTTATGCCCCTAATGGACTGCCACGGCGTTCTAGGCTGAACATCTGCTAAATCTTCACCCATCACACGGAGCCGTCGCCTGTTTAAGTGAGCCTCCGCCAAGACATCAGAATACAAAAGAAGCTGAGAAAGTTAGAAATTGGTCTTGAAGGAGATAAATTAACACCGTCTGATGCAGGAACCCTTCTTTTTGTTCTGCCGGATCAGACAATGTGTAAATACCAACTCTCGAAACATTCTTTGTGAAAAGCATGAGATCGCAATAGTAAATAAAATACCGTGGGTTTTATTTAGCACAACTCTTCTTTCTCCTAGCATGTTCATTTTAACAAGGGTCTGCTATTCGAGTCAACCTCCGCCACATGTTTCTGTCGTTCGTTACACCTTCAGAGACTCCCAGTTTCATATCATTCTTGACAGCATCGCGCCATCTTTTCATCGGTCTTCCCATTCTTTTCTTTCCCGGAAGCATCAGTGCTTGGACCACTTTTCCAACGTACTCGATGGGTCTTCTTTTCACGTGACCGAACCAATACCGCCTGCTTTCGGTAAGCTTTTCTGAGATTGGTGCTACCGCTAGACTGCTTCAATGGAGCTGTTTCGGATGTGGTCCTTTCTGCTGACACCACACATCCATCTGAGTATTCGCATTTCCACCGGGTTCAGCTGCTGCTAATATCACTTCAGTGTGCCAAACATTCTGCTCCGACAGAAGCACCGGTATTCATATGGTTCTGTACACCTTCCCTTTCAGTATGATGGGCATTTTCCTGTCGCACAGTACTCGTTTACTTCTCTCCATTTGAGCCCAGCTATTTTCGACTAATTTCTTACCTCGTTGTCGATTTTAGCATTATCTTGCTGGAAGGAACCAAGATAGTTGAATTCTTGGGTTTGAGACAGCAAGATCCCCGCTACTTTCACTGTTTTGACGGATTTCAACCTGTTTTCCTCACTGAAATAGCCCGCCATATATTCTGACTTACCTTTGCCAAATCGAAGGCCGTTATTCTCAAGCGCTGTTCTCCATGCCTCAGTTTTTGATTCAACAGCTTCTTTGCTTCAGCTGCATAGCACAATGTCATCTGCATAGAGCATGCAGTATGGGGCTGCTTCCTGCAAATCTTAGTTATCTCGAAATGGGCTCAGGCCGATCCTTGATGGGCTCCTAAACGTACAAGCAACTCTTCCGTTTCGCCACTATCGTTGTCACTCTGTTGTACATGTCTCTAGTAAGTATGACATATTTTTCTGGCACAAGTTTCTTTCTCATGTTCCACCAGACTGATTGCCTCAGGATTCTGTCAAAGGCATTCTCTAGGTCTAGGAGCACCATGTGAATGTCTTGACTGCCTTCTCTGAATGTTTCGAGGACTGATCTTAAAACGAAGATAGCACCTGTGGTTGATCTGTCTGGCATAAAGCCAAACTGGTTCGGGGTGATGTCAGCCTCCTTTCTCAGTCTTTTGTCCAGCACCCTCTCACATATCTTCATGGTGTGACTGAGCAGTTTAATTCCCTGGTAGTTTTCACAGGCGAGTATGTGCCCTTTCATTTTGTGCATTGGCATAAATACTCTGCCTGCATGATTCCGGCATTTTCTCACATTCCATAATTTTGTTGAATAGCGCGTAGAGCCAAGCTACGCCTTCTTGCCCCACTGCCTTCCATGTTTCTGTGGGAACTGCGTCCGGACCATGGGCCCTTTTATTTTTCTGCTCAAGGATAGTTCCACTTCCTCCGGTGAGATCTTTTCGATTAGGTCCTGGTTCTGTGGGATCTCTTCCACGACCTCTCTGGAACGTTCTTCGTTTAGCAGCGTTTGGAA